CATGGAATTGTGAGCTTTTAGGGTCTTTTGAAACACAACAGGAGAAGGGCAGCACCAAAAACCTTCCGGCGTCACGGCAATTGGGACATTTCTAATCTTGACTTGGCCTTGTTCTACCCTCTTAAGTCTAATTTCAGCCATAATTCACAAGAACTTACAGCAATTACAGTTAGCACATTGCTGTAAATCCCCAATACAAAGTTTTGGAACCAAAACTCTCTTCCTCTTCAAAAGGGTCTAATTACAATGTAAACTCACAAGCATGAAAGGTACAAAGGTGAGAGTTTGAGGTTGATTCTAAGAACCCTAAACTGAGAAATCACTTACTCCACAGCAAGAATTGCATTTCAGTGAAAACTGAACCGACCCAGCCAGCGATTTCTCTGAAAGAAAAAAAAAAGAGATGCAATCTTTTTAAGAATTAGACAGCAGAAAAGTAAGAACAAAGTTTGAAGGCACTAAACGAATTCAGAAGCACAGAAACCACAGATCAAAATCCAACACAAAAACCCACAAACAATTAACAAAATAGAATAAAGATGGATTTTTTCCCCCCAATTTGAAAAGAATTTGAAACCCAAAAGAGAGAACTCACCAAGAACTGGTTAATCTGAGAGCCCTCTGAAGATTTATTTTTAAAGTGATTGAATGGGAGCTCTCGGTGTCAAGCATCAAGGGAACCAGTGAACAGATAGTTGCAGGGAGGAATGATAAGTAATAGAGAGCCTTTAATTACTAAAGCTAAGAAAGCCCACAACCGAAAAGGAATAAAAAATATAATAGAAAGAAAAACAAAAAGAAAAAGAAGAAAAGTAGAAACCTGCAGAGATTGATGATGGTTCATGGGTTGTATTTTTCTACTTCAACAGGCTATACTTTTGATGATGATTATCTCTCTGCAAATGCAGATGCAGATGTTCTCTCTCTCTCTCTCTCTCTCTCTCTCTCTCTATCTAGAAAATACTTTCTCAGTAACCAAACAGGCATGCCTTACACTTGTCTCTCATCATTTTTCTATTACTCTTTTCTGTGTTCTTTATTTTTTTGGCTGCAACCTTTTCTCTGTTCAATATTGTTCCTTGTGCTGGTCTTGTTGGAAGTGGAACGTCGCTACACTAGGCTTTTTGAATTTATGAAATGCCTATAACAATTTCTCTTATGTTAAATAAAATAATTTATTAATGTGAATTATTTCTTGTCAGGAGCATCGCTTTCTTGTTGAGTTGATGTGTACATTGATCCAAAGACTGAAGTGGATCTTTGAAATTTGTATCTGCCTAATTGGTCTTTGACTAAAGGTGAAAAGGAAACCAAGTCTTTCTTATTAAACAATTCGGGCATTTGAAATTTGATCCAACAATTAAAGTTATTATAACTTTTAAAGTGAATCTCTATTTGTAACCGTTAAATCAAATTTCAAGGATCTGGATTACTTAATGGGAGGAACTTGATGGAAGGTATCCGAATAAAATCACTTTCCTGAAAATAGCACATGTTTACCAAATGTTACATAAAAAATGGAAGTTCACTTTCCTGAAAATAGCACATATTTACGATTTATTTTTTGAAAATTTTCCAAACAAGCAATTTTAATGTAAATTTTCAGCTTCTTATCTTTCTATGTTTAACTTTCAGTATTCTTTTATTCGTACAAATGGCTTAATATTTACTCAAATTTGAATCATCTTCATTACTATAGTTTAGATGATTTTTTTTAGTATAAAAATCGTTTGTAATATAAAAAGAGTTTAATGATTTTAAAGAAAATATAGAACGAAATATGTATTATATAAAAAAGAAATAAAATCACATAAAAAGAGATTGCCATAACGAGGTTTTAAGTTGATGTAAATTGAACCGTCCCACATGGCACTAGTCAATAATTGACTTACGAAACCTCGGAAAGCCAAGTTTAACAAATATATAATTAATTCCGTAAGGAGAATTCCAATACAAACTCAAGGTTTATTTATACATTTGCAATAATAATACTATAGCTTGAAGTATAAAATAGGTTGCCTATAAAATCAGATTCTGAAACCAATTCCATATTCCAAGTTGCCAACATATAATCCGTAATAAAGATTTCGAGAAATGTTAATGAGACTCTCTTAAAAGTGTGACTCTTCATGAATTTTCTGTCACTTCAAGTTTTTTGCACAATGTTTTATAATGTTGACATAAGAATTGACGTTAAACTGTTATGTAGCAGAGAATACATGGAGGAGTCCCGCTTTGAGAGGTACTCCACCCCTAGAATACACTATGGGCTATAGGCAACCCAATGCCCCAACCGCATAGTAATTGTCTTTAGTTCCAGTAAATGTTCAAGTGTATCTCCACTCCTAAACTATATACCCCATGCCATGAGTATTAAAATATTTTTATATAAAATAATAAAAGATGATTTTATTTGTAATTTCGGATATGATTTTTAACCAATATCGTCACGCCATGTGTTATTATACTAAAATACAATTTTTGTGAACTGCCCAATAACGCCACTAAATTATTTTTCTGTATTTTTAATCATTTTTATCAACCTAATTAAAGTGGACCATTTTGTACTCCAACTGCCCATATTGTGCCATGTGGCCCAATAGTAAAATTATATTGTTTCAGGTTTTTCTTTTTCTTTTTAATTTTATTCTTTTTTGCTGGAAAAATCTGGATCGTAGGTAGAAACATTGTGCATATCGAAAAAAGAAAAAAAATTAATAATGTGGCTGACGCACGTGCCTGAAGTTGAGCGTGAACCACACATGCCTGAAGTGAAAAAAATTAATAATGTGGCTGACGTCAACCTGACGTCATTCCCTTCAGTCAGTGGGTCAGGCAATTTGGGCCTGTGTTGTGTGTCGGGCTCCCCTGGAACCCAATTAATCGGGTAGGGCTGGAGCACTTTTTGAGAGATTGGGGGGTTGGATTACCCAATAGCCTAGGGGATTGTCTTCTAGTGGACTTGCTTTGAAAGAATCTCCTTAGCATTTCACTTTCGAACCCCATTGTCTCTCACTAAAAGTTTTTGTTTTCTTTGTTACAAACAATATTATGAAATGGAGAATCTAACTCAGGGCATTAGTGCAAAAGAAACGACTTTATAAAATAGGTTCACTCTCATTGTGCGTCTTGATTAACTAAAATGTATGTTATGTTTATCTCTATATAACATTTCATTATTGAATCAAGACACCATGCTAGAGAATGAACATGTTGTATGTAAGTTTTTCTCCAGTACATGAAATGAAACTCTTTAACAATTGAGCTACAAACTCGTTGCAATCTCGCATAGATGAATTGATTTGCAAATTTAAAATAAAACCCAATTTTATTCTTTATTAAAACTAATGGTGGCCCATTTTTAGTACATGTTTAGGGAAATGAAGGATTATAATTCAAATGTGCCCCATGGGAATTTCCTTTTCTTCTTTATGTTCCATAACAATGTACCTAGTTTACTTTTGTTCTTTGCTTTTATGTTGTTGCTATTTACTTTATAAAAAGAGTGGAATATAGATCATCATAAGAATCACAATCAAGTGGCACATATTCACACAAGAAATATTTGACAAGGACCCCCCCAAAATATGTAAACAAAAATTGAAAATCTTTTGACTTAATTTTACCCTTTTTATTTCTTTTAGGTTTTCTTAATTATGAAAAAGAAAAAGCTATGGAGTGTGTGTGTTGTCAACTGTGTATTGTAGTATATATGTTGTGTGTGTCTCTCTCTGTGTGTGTATATATATATATGTTGTATATATAGATATCATGCATGCAATACTAGAGTGTAAAAATAAAAAAAAATAAAAAAAGCACAACGGTGCAACCCAAAGCTCTCTGCTTGGCGAGGATCAGGGGAGTTTCCAAATGATGCAAAAATTGAAGAAAGTGAGAGCACGTTTTCATGATCAATGGTGGTACCAAAAGAAATTCCATGGAAAATGGCCTTGCTGTAAGTTGAGCCCACCATGGAATATGGCTAATCATGTGGTGGGTTTGAATTTGATCAGTGTCGAGCTGTAAATTAACCAGTTAACAAGTAAAGCTAATTGTGTGAGATGAGAGTCTTATACCTAATACCTAATACCCAATACCTAATGAGGGAAAAGGTCCAGCTGTATGCATGCTGCTGACGATGGAAAGGTTAACAAACAGAGCATAATGTATCTTAAGTTCCTTTGTGTTGGTGATTAAAAAAAAAAATTGCATTTTTCTATAATACATAGTGAATGAGATGCACCGGTGTTTGAATGACTAGATGAAAACTGTCAAAATTCAACCATGTAAATTTAATCGTCCAATGCACCGGGCATGTGTATGCAGAGGGCCTCAGCATGACTTCAAACCACCCGTGGTGGTTGGTTTGGTGGATTTGTGAGATTTAAACAGGAATAGCAGTTTTGGTGGGATTTAGCTTTGGACTCCCCTTTGTCTTCTTTGTGGTCCTAGAAGGTTGAAATGAAGATGTGGTACCTACCATACACAGAAATAACGCATTAAAGCATGAAGCTACATGGAATCTTTGTTGGTGACTTTGTCTGTTTTTTCGTCTGTTCCGGAAAAGAACAAGCAGCCAATGCCATGTTTTTGCCTCTTTATGATTTTCTACTTCATTGGCATCGATGTTCAAGGGTCTGTTTGGGATTGCTTCTAACCGTCGAGAAAAACACATGTACTGATGCACATATGCTCTTCAGGAAGCACTAGGATTTGTAACAAAAAATTCAACTTGTATATGTAATAGCACTTATAGTAAAGGCGCTAAGAAGATAAAAAAGCAATCGTAAACGAGTCAAAAACTTTCAATCATAACTGCAGCGCTAGCTAACAGAAGCGAAATGTAAATGTAGTTTTTACATCTCGAAATGTAAATGTAGTTTTTACATCTCAAATTTGCGTCTCTCGCTCTTACACCATATCATATTCTTATATGTTATCGCACGAGAACAAAACAGTATGCAAACTGCAGTAAAAGAACTAAGAACTCTGGGAGAAAGTACAATCGAAGAAGCTGGGATCGTTGAGAAAAAATCATTTCAACAAATAGGAAATATGTAAGAATTGACCGTTTAAGCATTCCATCACCACAAAACCTAAGAACTTCTACCAGAAAAATGAAAAAAAATCCATCCACAGTTAGCTAATCCAAATCCAAAGCTGCCACAGGATCAGCGAAAGTGAAAAAGAAAACTGAAACAAAGGGAAACGATGAAGTTCGTCATCCTCGATTCTTCAACGAATTACTAAAGAACAAACATTGGTAAAATCTACCTGCGGAAAAGATCATACAATGTATTGCAATTAGCAGCAGATCCAGAGCTGAATAAACCCTTGTGTCACTGTTACGACTCAGTCAATTTTACTTTCAGCTGGATCCAAGATCCGTTTTATTATCAACGGTTGGATCATAAACGGCAATGACTGAGAACTCACCACTGGGGGGGATGCGGAGATTATTCTCTTTTCACAAACTGCCTTTTCATTATTGAAGCGCGGGCAAGTGTATGCTGAGATTGCAGGAGATTATTCTCATTCAAGGCTTAATAGAGTCGCCCCCGGCACACGGAAGCTCCACAATGGCACGGATGTCCTTGTCCAGGAAGATGTTTATATCGATAGTTATATGTTATTTCTTCCCCCAACGCTATCTGCTCACATACAGTAGAATTATCAAGAAATACATTATTCACTTTAAGCACAGTAATGCATATCAGTTGCAGAGAGCAGTCATCAATTGTACATCAAATGCCATCTTCAATTGACCGTTTAGTAGACCAATAGCAAGGATAACTTAGCAACTGACCATGTAACCATCACAACACTCTCAATCTTAACTTCCGAGATAATTACTAATGCGTCATGCACAAATAAAATCATTCTACGAGAAGAAATGAGAGTGCTTACATCTTGATTCGCATAGAGACCAATATGTGCACGCAAACTATCCATGCTTTCCACAAGAACTTGGTGATTCACAAGATTAGGCGAGCAGCTACAAAAGAATAGCATACGTCAACTATATCACAAGGCACTCGCATTGCCCAAGAAACAAATAAAAACATATGGATAAAGATAATTCAGCAATGTCTTTCATTACCTATGATTGATGAATTTTGAAACATTTCCATAATTAGTTGAGTCAATTACATGATGGGCCTGTCCTTCGACCAATCTACTCATATCATTAACATGAGCATCAATTTCATGTAAGTAGCCGTAACCATCTTTTCCATACCTGATCATTCGTAATGGACCATTCAAAATATGACACAAAAACTAAAAAGTAGAGTGGAACAATAGGTGTATCTATCAGAACTAAACCGAAACCTGTCGTGCCTCTCATTTGCTTCATGCTCATCTAAAACCTCGCCAATGTACTCGCAAACAAATGTGCCGCGGAGAATTGCTTCACCTGCCCTGACTCCCCATCCCTGCAATTGGGTACCGAAGTCAATACAACTCTTGAAAATCTTCAAAAACTGACATTTAACTTTTCAGCTACCTATCCTTTTAGCTTAGGGAGGAAAAAATAAGGAAAGAAAAATAAACTACCTTTTTATCTGTTTTGAAGACTTCCAGTTTCACTCTTACTCCATTCTGCAAAACCCTATTAGGACAAGATCTATTGCAGCTGCACATCTGATTGCATTCATAAACGAGGTACCCTTCCTGCACGATATCAAAAGAGTAACAAGTCAACCTTATGTTCCCACCAATTAAAAATAGGAGAATGAAAATTAAGTGAAAGTCGAGCATGATATGAATCCCTTCTTGCTTTTTTAAATAAAGACTCTGTGGGGGCAGTGGAATGGCACTACCCTCCAAGAACCTGTGCTCATTCAAATATACATGCATATAGATTGAGAGAGAATACGATGATCTATGCTGGAACTATCTCAGTCTCTTTTTCTCTCTAGCAAACGGTTAAGACAGAAAAAACAATCTTTGATATAGAAAAGATCCTGTGTTTATAAAAATCACCAAATCCAAGTAATGCATTTTTATGTGCTTGTCAGCGACACGATCAACAACACGGCACATTTATGCTTTCCACGGTATAAATGGCTATCAAGCAAAATGAAAAAGAAGTTAAAGACTTCCAACAATGGAGAGCATACCACCATCATATGTGATCAGGGGTCAACACTTAAAAAGGTACTGAAATTAGAGGAGATGAGACTGGTGGTTAGTGGTAGATTTTGATTAGCATTACCTCCAAGATAATTCGACCTCTCTCATCATATGGGAATCTGCCACGCATGGATTTCCCATAGATGTCTTTTGCATCATCATAGTCATTATCAAAAAGGTAAACATGATCACATGTTTCAGGACAGCATGTAGAACGCGGGCATGCACACCCCAATTGCAAACTCTGCAATGAAATAGACCAAAAAACATGTTAAATGCCAACAAAAATTGGAAAAAGAAAATACTGTGACAAATCAATCTATTCATCATGAAGTCATAGTAAATGCATACTATTAGAGAACAAAAGTATATTGTAATTAGGATCCTAGTCAGCTCGAATATTTGGTTCCAGGTTTGTTTAGGGGTGTAATCTAGTATTCAAAATTAAGTTATTTGGTTATGTCTTTAGTTTCCTGTACTAATGAGGGTCATGATTAATAAATCTCATTCTCCCCATTTTCTTCACATCTAATGCAAGATCTAGTCTTCTTAAAGAAAATTGTTATTCCGGTCAGATGGCATCTAACTAAATGTCATCATTGCGGTTCCTTTTTCATATTACTGGCTCATTGCATCCAAAGTTTTGGTCAAAGTCTTCCTTTTATTTGCACCTTTACTACAATTATGGTGGTCCAGGTGAGAGTGATGCATATTTAAACATGTGGCATACATGCAATGCTGATAAAATCAGTGACTGAAAGATATTAGATCAAAGATTGAAAAGTAAAAAAAGTAAACCTCTGTATTGAGTCCCAGGGATTGATGAAGCAAGGGCTTCATAATATAGGTAAAGCCCTCCCAAGGCAAGGAATCACCAGCATTTTGGTCATTAGAACCACCTGCAAGGGCAGGATAAGAATCCAATTGGTCTTCATCTGCTACACAAACCACCGGGACCAATTCCTGCCCAAAGCTTATATCATCACACAAGACAAGAGCCTTCTGGAAGGATCTTTGGCTCAAGTGATGTGCATCAATAAGATAGTGGCTTTCATCCACCTCCCACTTATCGTCACGAGGATCTGATGAAGGTGGAGATCTATGCCCCACAGTACCAATTGGAAGAGGCATCACCGGAGACACAAAGCATTCCTTGAATTCTTTGCATCCTTTAGGGCAAATAAAGCCATCTTGATGCCAATCTACCCGAATATTATACTCACTGCAGAGCTTGGCTGCCCTTAGATACAAACTTTCTGGCAGGACTCCATATTGTCCCTCCAGCATGGCTTTGAGACTGATCTTGCAGCAAGCAGAGCGAGCAACAGATAAAATGTCTAGGTTACTCGGCCTACATTTTGTTTTCTGCATCTCAGAAAACAGAATTCTTGCTACTGCTGAACAATGTGAGTCCCCTAATCTAGACAGACTTGCTGCCTCAGTTGCATGACGCTGTACATTTATTCCTCCGGTACCAAGTGACTTTGATGCTTGAATACGTTTCTTCATAGTAGCATTTGCCCTATTCCTGATCCTATATGATGCTGCTGCCAAATTTTTTCTCAATCTAGGACGACTAAGTCTCCCAGATTTTAATCTATAAGCATAATAACGTATCCCCTTCTTTGAAGGCAGAGAACTGGCTAAACTTGGTCCCATGTGAATAGCTTGATGGTGACGACCAAGATCAGGAAGTAAATCAAACTTCAACCCACAAAACCTGCAAACAAACTTTCGTTGACCACTTACATTCTCAGTGTTATTCTTCACAGAAGCTGAATTGCATAACTCAAACTTCCTTGGAGAAACATCACCAGCAGACAGGACAGGCTGAGGAGCTTTTGAGAGCCTGAAATTATCACGATGAACTGCAAGCACATGCAACCATAACTCGTCTGTATTCCCAAAGTGGCTTCCACAAGGAATACACTGGAAAAGCATGCATTGTTCAACAAATTGCACACAATGTCTCTCCTGAACATGAGTTTCCAAGACTTTCTTATTAGTAAAACAATCCAGGCAGATAGCACATGCATAACCTCTAAACAGCCATTGTGCTTCCTTTTTATGATTGTCCATCCAGTGAGTTCCAAGTGCTTGGTCATCCGAAAACTCCTGTGAGCAAACTTTGCACCTCATAGCTTGTTCGTTGTCATCCCCAGTCCATTGCAACAGAGCTTGTTCTTCCATGGCAGAAGAAGCAACATGTGCATCTTCATCATCATTAAAGCCCCAAATCCCTCTAAGTCTCTCCTTTTCAGTGCAAACCAACTTTGTGAATACTTCTCCAACGCCAAGATTATTAGAAGCTTCAGATAGGGCCCACTGAAATTGTACATCCTTAGGAACAGGGTTTCTTAAAGATAATATACTTTTAAAGAGCTTGTAAAAGAGCTCACACGCTTGATGTAAATTAAACTTTTGCTCCTGTGAGTGACAATCTTTCAAAAGATCTACAAAAACTTCTTTTGATATTATCCTACTCTTACCATTTCTTGCACGTTTGAGCCAGCTTGGGAGGTGCTTTTCGCAATATAATGAATGCCTCTTTGGACTTTCCAAGCAAGGGTTGCTGTCATCCCAGAAACAAGACCCTATGCAGCGCTGCTCTCCTGTTGTATTACAAGCTTTGGCAGGAGACTCGGACTTCTCAAATAAGCTCCCTCTTTCACGGAAGGCATTACCAGCCCCAATTGAGACAGGATCTACCTGTAGAGGACTTTCAACATCTCCGACCAATACCATCTCTCTGCAGTTTGTAGTCTCTAAATTAGAAATGTTCTCCTCAAACTTTCTCTTAAGTTTATACTCTGGAAAATTTGAGATGGTCTTCATATCATTCTTTGGTCTGTGCTTCTTACAAAATGAATAGCCTTGTAAAGACCGATGCTTACATCTAGTTCCAAGGACAGTTGTGCCTTCACACAGTGGTTGATCACTCGAGTGAGACCCTTCAGCTTTTGTAGAGCTTCCCATGAAACGAGAGGACAAATGTACACAACAGTAAACATCACCATCATTTGCCCACCTCACGCATTGCCTTCCCTTGGCTTCAATATAAGCAATGCAATGTCGATTTTTGCTTCCAGGCTCAGAAGATCTTATGGCAGCAACTTCATTGGCTGGTGTCATTTCCACATCTTTGGTTTGGATGAACTTAGAATTACCAGCTTCAACTAATACTCCATCCCATTTATCAGCAACTCGCCCAGGTGTGTCTGTTGGTGCAGCTATATCTTTCATATCTTCTTTTTTATAGGGTTCTGATGCTAATGTAGCAGCATTTGAAGTGTCTCGATTATTAAAGAATTCAGAGTCAATTTCAATGGCTATAGATTCATCTGATCCCCTAGATTCCACCTGGGAAGCATTTGCCTCCGCACGACGTACTTCGAGCTTTGGCCTTTTCCTGCCAACTTGGAGATTTGGGGTTAAGGGACCATCACTAGTCTGCTGTTGAAAGTCTACACTATTCGATGTGGGATGAGAGGTTGAAAACCATTTCATAACTTCATGCTTCCATGTTTTCCACTCGGAACCCAATGTAGGCTGCAATGGTGCATTCTGGAGAGACTGGACTTCATTCCAGAGAATAGAGTCAACTAGTTCCTGAACCAGAAAGGGAAACATAAAGCCAAAAGCTTGATCAAATGACTTCAACTGTAAAAATTATCTCAAAACAAAATCCATGGAACAATAACATATTCCAAAACAAAGTTACAAACAGCTATGTAAGAGGCACCGGAAGTGAGTTTGAGTGGTCTTCACTCATGCCCTATCACAATGAAATAAATAGCTATAACAACATTTACAGTGAGCACACCCAAATTCCATGGAACGGTAACATATTCCAAAACAAAGTTACAAACAGCTATGCAACTTTTCTTACACAAACAGTCCACCACTCAATTAAAAGTGGAAAACAACTGCCGAGCATATATATACCATGCACTGCACATAAATTAATTTTAATTGAATGGTCAAAAACTAAAACAAGAGGAAAGAAGCAACTCACTTTAGCTCCATTACCGGGAGCCTTACTAGTTAAATGGAAACAAATTAACGGTAAAAATACTCCCAAGAAAAATCATGCAATATATATACCAACACAATATGGAAGGAAACAATATAAGGTTGAAACAACTTGTACTATTGTACTACCACAGTTCAACCAGTGAACATAGAACATAAATGAGCAGCAAAAGTTATAATGTATACCTCCTTAAGTACTTCAATGGTTGCAGCATTACTCGCATTCTGACACTGCTGCAACCAAAAGTTATATGAACGTTCTAGCCATTCAGAATTTAGGTAGGTCTGTGATATCATCTGTAAAGGAAAATAAAATGGCATTGCTTAATAACTAATCAGAAGAAAAACAAAATATGAAATAAATAAGTAATTTATTTCAGAGCAGAACAAAATTTCAAAAAAAAAAAAGAAAAAAACAAGATTTAAATTTTTGTTTAGTCTGAAAATATAGGTTAATCATATACCTATAACATGGTGAGAACACAAAAACTTTACAGTCTATGCAAAACACAAACACAAGTGCGCACATAGAATAACAGATAAATCCGTTCCAAGCTTGAAGTAGTGGCAAGTAAAACTGTAAAAGTGATGATGACAAGATCAGCAGAAATATGATAAATCAATTTCCAAAGGGCTCTTTCTACACCGACTTTAAAGCTAATTAATTTTCTTCCCAAAAGTTATGGGCTAAGGACAACTACAAGAAGAAATACAATTTGACACACAAAATAAGTCAGAAGAACCTGATACAATTGGTCTTTTTTTCATCATCAATAGTCAATAGTCGACGTTGAAGGAAAAAAAAAAAGCAGTTAAATTTCATTACAGACAATGCCTTAAGCTCATACTGGAAAGAAAAAAGAAAAAAAACAAAAGAAACAGTTTCTGCCTATTTAAAAAATTCAAGTATCACTAGATGTAGCAATTTACACTTCGCAGCTTCAGAAGCATCTTTCCAAGATCAGAATAGCCACTGCAACGAGAAGCCTCCATTGCAAATTCCTTCCAGACAGCCACATCACGAGCAGTCTCTATCAAAGCCTACACAAGTTGACATATCTAAGAGAATGACATCAAAGCAGAAGAGGATACTAAAGACACAATAAGTTGGTTGCTCCAATTATGGAAAACGAAAGTTTGGAGAGAGCATGAGAATCTCAATTAAAATCGCATACCTCAGTATGAAATTGGTCAACAACATTCAGCATTCCAACAGCTAACTTTTGCATAATAAACCGACGTGCTATGGTCAAATCTTTAACCACTTTTAAGCCAACTTTGTGCGTTTTATATGCAATAGGGTGTGGAAATTCATCAATGGAACGAACAAGTAGTGTGTCTGCCCAAGAATAATTCCTTGTGTGTGGAAAAAATATCACAAAATATTTTTTCCTATCATGAGTTGGTTTTGCTCTCAAAGTCGATAATGGGCAGTCAGCTCTTGCACACCGTATTCCTGTCTGCCACTTCCCTCTCCACTATACTTGGACAAATAGAGAGGTACCAATGTAAAATGAAATCAGCAATGTTAATTTATTCCACCAGTTTCAATCTTTATAGTTTTGGTTACAGTCAGCAAAGGAAAATGGGGAAGGGTATCAGGATCTATACATCCTCACAATTTCTATTCGCAAGTGTTATATCACATAAAAAAAAATTAAAAGTATCCCGACCCAAAAGCTGAAATTAGACCTCTATCCATTTCTAGAAAGCCATTACTGGACAATTGCAATAATAAAGATTTGAACTCAGGACCTCCCGCTTTGCCACATTGAAGTATCTAAACCAAAAGCTTGCATTGATAGAATGTGATCCTGGAAAATGTTATATCTGAACACTGAGGAGAAAAACAAAGAAAAATTGAGCAGCCAAACCTACGGGTAAAGATAATGAGACTAACCAACTTGATATGCATCAGGCCCGAGAAATTGCATAACAAAAAGCTTTAAGTTATGAAAACAAAGTAATGTTGAACGTGAAAGAAACAAAAGCTACCTTGACCCACAGTGCCACAGATTCATCACTTTCTAGCCATGCAGACTCTGACAGAGATGACTCTCCTTCCCTACTGTTGTTTGGCAATGCACTTTCCCTGCTGTCTACAATCATATGACTGTTATCAGAGGTTACGCAGGGTTCACTGTAATTCTGTGCATTTATGTCATCATCATCAAAATCTTGCGAGCCACTAGATGACTTTTGACCCTCCAATTGACGACAATCAATAACTGAAGCTCCATTTTGACATCCATCAGAAGTATGCAATTCATCAACTGCCCCTTGAACTTCACCTTGTCTTCCTAATTGAGGTCCTTCCACATTTGGCAATATGTCATCTGCCACTTGCACTTTCTTTTCATGTTCAAGGCAGTTGGATTCGCCGTCATATACAGAAGGGGTTGATGAACTCTGTTGAGGGCAATCAGATTGTCCAACACGAATGGTAGAACAAGGGAGCACTTCCATGATCCTACACTAAAAATACTGGTGCCATATGATGCGTATGCTATCACTGATTATTTGCCTACCCACCTTTCTGTTCAAACAAAGGTCCAGTTGACAAAAAGAGTCAGGGATATATTCGATGATGTACCAAATTGAGAAAACAAAATCCAAAATATACTTCTAATTAACTGATAAATAAAAGGCTGCAACAGCCACAATGAGCACATGTGTGCATAACATGTGTTTAGGCTTGTCTCTACCAAAGTTATGACCAGAGGAAAAACCTAAAGCCAATCTTGACAAATCCACAATGGCCTTATTTGGTCTGACCAACATAGCATAATGAATGGTGTTATATCAGCGCTTGAAAGACCATGTCAATCATGTCAATGGGATCAATCAAGAAATTAAGAAGAGACATGACGCAGTAAGACAGAAGAAAGAAAAGTTCGTATTCCCATTAGATGGCAAATGCCATGATATGTATTTCACCTCCTTTGAGGAGTTTCAATTTGCATTTCAATTTATTCATAACAAAGGACTGCTAGAACAGCAAAAAAAATCACAGCCTCGGTTTGAACCATATTATTAGGCAACTGACTAACTTAATCCATATCGGTTCAATGGTATAATTTTATAAACTACATAAACTTCCAGATATATCAATGCATGCAAAAGATTTCATGTATAGACGACTAAGGATGTTGAATCAATAAACTAAAGATAATTTTATTTTGATACTAAGGCAAATTACTGACAAACTCATATCTCTAAGAAAAAATGTTTAAAACAATGATCATAGCAAATAGATAAAAAAGATACCAAACTATGATAATACCCCGCAAGGGGCTTGTAGCCCTACACCCGAGGTCCTGTTTTTGAATCCCCCCTCCTCCGTTATTGTTTATAAAAAAATGAAAACTAAAATTATACCCCCTACCATTGCAGAATTCTAAAATAAATCCCGTGTTCAACTAGCAAGCAATTGAAAAATAACATTAATTCCATATGCATTCATTTTTTATATGGTAGTTGTTTAATTCAACTAGCAAGCAATTTCCAGAAACTAAATCCCGTGTTCTCAATTTCAAAAACAAAAACAAGAACAGTAAATTACTTGTTATGTATAGAAAAATAATATAATACTAATTAATTGTTATATCGAGCAAAATAACATATTTATCATTCTTCTTCTAAGAACAAAAAAAAATCACAGTATCACCTCACCCCACAAAGGAGGAGATCAGGATAACAATTTTGCAACATCATGTGTTAGTTCAAATAAACATATGATTCTACAAAAGCAACAGAATCGGCCGTCGAAAATCCTCCAGTTGTCTTCAAAATATGTGTTTGCAGCGGAAGCATATTCTAGAGGTACAGAGAACAACTTTCACATATCCAATTATTCAATAAAATGAAGTTGTAAAAATAAAAACTAAATCTTTGGCATTAAATACACATAAACCCTTCTACTTGTACAAATATACACATCAAAACACAGTAAAATGTACTAAAGAAATAGTAATCCATATAATATACCCAAAGGGCAATGCAACGGTGCTCCTCAAGTGAGAAACCATGTGACATACAACCAAACAGTCAATGATGCCCTACACATCTAAAATACCTTAATTTCTACAAAAAAAAAAAAATAATCACACCCACAATCCAACTGCAAAAAGCAGCCCAGAAAAAAGCTGCATCACACTATAATTGACAACCAACCAACAAGCTCACCATGTGCAATTGGCCCCTTTCTGAGGAACAAACCCTAATTCACTAAACCCAGAACTTAAATTTGGTAAAAGCCACGGATTTTACAACCAATTGGTAACATTCTGATGGCAAAACCCTAGAAAAATCCGCAACGGACAACCCATGTACGGATCGTGAACATGCAGGTGGGTACAGATCAATAAAAAAAGGAAACATAACATAAATTATGTACCAAAAACATAACACAAACATGCCCATTTGAAAACAACAGCTAAAAAAATCCCAAGAAACGGTTCAAGTTCATGCCTTTATATTTACCCTACCATGTTAAAAAGGTGGAGTCAAAATGTTAGAGCAAGAGGGTTTGGGTAATAGGTTTGTGGTAGGGGTGAGATATAATCATATAATTAGTCAGCAAAAAAGTTGACTGCAAAACAAAAGAAAAAAAAAATGTGACATGCTAGAGATGGGCATGGCCAAATTTACAGAGAGGATAGAGAGAGTAATGTAGCTTACCTTTAAAGAAGGGGGAGGAAGATCACCATTTTCCCATTGGGGTTGGGTGAGATTTTGGGTGAAATTTTGGGGGAAGTTTGAGTCTTTGTGTTAGAAAAAAGAATTGGGTTGATGGGTTGATGGGTTTTTGGGTAAAAGCAACAATCTTTTCTATCCCTCTCTCAATCTGGCAAATCTTTGGCTAGTGTGTGAAAGGGGGGGGCTTATATTATAGATGTTGCAGGTCCCCGTGGCCTAAAATATGAAAGGAAAAAAAAATTAGAAAATACCAAGATATAGATACCAAGAGATTAGAGAAAGACGTGTGGGGTACAATTACATGGAAAAAAAAGAAGCCCTACCCTTTTGTCATACAAGAAGGCCGACTGAGACAACAACTGGGTCGTGGGTTTTTGGGGCAGCTTCTAAAATCCCAATTTTAATGTTTGTGTGAATATTTTAGAGAGATAAATTGTTGAGGGAGAACAAAAATGGTGGGTTTTATATTTGGGAGGGAGACCCGGGGTTGTTTCTGTGGGGGAGGAAGCGCGCTTCTATAGGTTGTTTTCGTAACGTGGCACGCTGCTTTTGCTTCGTTTTACTCTCTTCTTTCCCGACAGATGACCAAAGCAACAAAACAAATTGAATTTACTATTGTCTTCTTTTTATTTTTTGGGTTTTGGGGTCACTGCCAGAGTAAGTGCTATGAATCTTATCTGGGTTTCGAAATTTGTTTTCACCTTTTTTTTCTTTGTGTTTCTGTTTTGGTACAAGGGTAATTTTGCTTCCAAGAATTGGACGTCTGAGATAAGATTTTCCCTCAAATCCTTGATTAAAATGAACAAGTAAAAGTGGGTCTAATCTAGTACGCTATCGAAAAGAGAAATACTCAAACTTGATGTTGAAAATATGAACTTGAAACGCAATAAATTAAAATAAAAACTCTGTACACATGCCAACTCTCCACTTATTTTTCTTTACTGTTGTTAAAAATATTATTTGTACTAAAATATTAATGTTCTTTTTTTTGGTTGGTTGAAAAAATGGAGATCTATTCCATCCTTCTTCTTTTATTTTCTGGCAAATTTGGTGGGAGCTATTTAACCATGATTGGCTCTTGGATATATGCTAGAGGAGAAATTGATTAACATTTGGATGCATTCCCTGGGATGAACTCATTTTTCCCTCGCAAATAATATATTATTGTCGTAAAAATTTCATAATCTGAATCGTTTGCTATTTTAAGCTTCGTTTAAAGATTAGCTCTGCAAAAAGAAATTATTCAAATCAGAGATATAGTCATCCAAATGTATCAAATAAGTCAACGATTCATCATGAATATGCTACTTGGTACCTAAATTGGTAAACAGTTGATTTATTTTGACATCTTCAATTCGAATGACTTTTTATAGAAATGATCTTCAAATGAAAATAAAAAGATTAAATGGTTCCGCTTATAAAGTTTTTATAATAACAATACCTTATTTATGGGTGAAAGAATGTGCTCATTCTCTAGAGCATTCCCCTTAACGTTTCCATCGTATTTCCCTCTCACAGAAAACGCATAAGTGATGATGATGAAGTTATGCTAACGCATGAAATAACTAACTGGCATTGGCAATTTGTAACTTCTTTCTTTTACATTGACTTTTTTCGTTAAGAACGAGGGATAATATATTAGAAGTTAAGACTTCTTTCAGTAACTGAATGTAAAATGTTACTTGACTTGAGCTAGTTGAATATTTTACGATGCAATTTGGGAATGATTTATTGAGGGATGGGAAAATAAATATCTTAATTGTTAACAACACGGTAAGCTCACTTCTTACAAGATTGTAGATTATCATTCCATAAATAATTCACCGAAAGAGTATTAATTAAAATCTAGTCTACGTGTTTTGGACTTAAAAATATATTAAAAAGAAAACTAATGAAAAGGGCTTGAAAACTTTGAGTTTTAATGATAAGGACAAAATAAAGTGTAAAGTGAATAGTACCATGATTGACTTTTTAGTGTAAAAATGTGGCTTTTCGTTAAAGTGAACAGTACCAGGAGGTTTTCGTTAAAGTTCCCTATATTAAATGAAGTGTTAGATATAACGTAAATGCCAACTAGATCTTTCATGTAACGTTGATACTACGTGTTATGATCACGTAAAACTACAAGTTCCTTTTATCAAAATCATGACGATCATTAACTTGAAAAGGTTTTTTTAATAAAATGAGAAAACAACCAAGACGGAGCTTCAAAATTTTGAACGACTAATACAAGTTTACTCAAATTTTAACTAATATTTAAATCTTATTTCAATACAAACAATATTATACTCTATAATTTATATTAAAGGAAATGGGGAAGAGTTTGAATCGGGCACGTCCTTGATGCAATCCAACACTTACAAATGGTAACATGTCAACATACCAAGTGGTACTCCCATCAACCACAATAATTTTTCTACAAAGACCAAGTGTTTTTGCTAGAAGTGTTTTCAATAGATAGATGTTAAAAATTATTTAATAATTCACGTGTTATCTTAAATAAGTATTTTACGAGTATGCTCTTCACAAAGTGTTTCTTATGACACAAAATCACTTTTATTTTTTATTTTTAATAACAGTAGTAAAAAACATTTTTGGCTATCAAAAAGTTCTTTTAGCTCTTCGTATAACCATCTTAAGCAAGCTCTAAGATGGTTTTTAGAAAAGGATAAGAAACCAAACCAAAGTAAAGGGTCGTATATATTGCTTTCACTTAAGTTAATTGGGTGGGCAGTTCACTTGTAGATTGTACTAGTCCTACTAACTCACCTCTCACGTGACCTCTAACCACTCATCCTACATTTCTTCAAGTAAGTACCTTTCTTTGTTTGTTTTGCTTTGTTCTTTTCTTTTTTTTTTCTTTTCACTTATGCAGGACAAGTTCTGTGGCAGTGGATGCAGTGGCCAAGACTGAGAGAAGAAGAAAGAAAGGCTAGCTAGATGGAGTCATTCCACATTAATACAACGTATGTCATAGCTTGCATATTCACGGGAAGTATTATTGTAAAAAAAATTTAAATTCGACGGGTTTGCTTTTGTCTCTTAGATTGTCATTGTTATACGATACATAAACTATTTTTCAGATTGATTAAAAAGCTAAAAAATAAACAAATAGATTTGAATAAATTTGCATTTTCATGGAGGAATACATTCAAGACCACATGTTAATTGCCAATTGCATCACTTGAAGAGCATCTGAATTCCCAATGTTTCCACAACATGACAGCAACAGCTTTATGAAAATCAAGATTATCCAACTTTTTTAATTTTTTACTTTTTTTGCATAAAGTGGGAGCAGGAAGCCCAAACAAACAAATTTAGCCCATTGGGCTATTGCAAACATCTGCATGCCGAGTGAGCCCACTGATATCTTCCTATTTCGGCTGATTACGAAGCTTTCTTCACGGACAAGCTCCTAATTTGGACCCTAATCCATTGCACAAACTCCGTATAAAAAGCCTTGCAAGGTTTACTCCCTTGCATGGACCAAAAGCTCTATCTATCAAACTCTCCTAACACATTGACGTTGTTGAGTCCGGCTGATCCAAAAAAAAAAAAATGTCATATCCAAGTATCGTAAGATGCCACAACCTCAAGAACCACAATCAGCCTATCATGGTGCCTACTAAATTAGCCACTCCAATCAGAAAAGCAATTCTCCCATTCCTAATGCACGCAATCAAGACTCCCCTAGCATGCCTGGGAATCCCAGGTGCTCACCCTTTATCAGTAGTCTTTGAATGTCGACTAAATTTGAGCGTTGGTGGTACCATTTTACATAGATCTTTAAAATGACCCTACAGAACTTCATCAGAGCCTCAATAGCTGTGGATTCTCCACACCTAGTATATCCATTAGTGGAATCAGTTGGGAGGCCATATACAAGCTGTCGAAAGACACTTGCTAGCTTCTGTTCAGGTGATAGGCCGAGTCGGCCTATAACATCCTTTTTTTGGACAAAGTATTGGTTGTGTCCGACAACAGCTTGCATGATGGTGGAGAAAAGTTCTCACTTTATTATAAAACACCTATAGAATTTAGAAGCTCCAAAAATAAGGTGAGGGATGAAGTAGTCTTTCATGAGGTTCTCATGCTAACAATGTGTGTTGACTAGTAACAACAACAACGACAGCATGTTGACGGTGGTCTTCCTCTATATCGAATCCTTATAGCATCTGAATTCTCTTGTCACAACTTGAACCCATTGAAAAATGAAAGTGTTTAAGCAAAAGTATGAGATTTAAGAAAGAGGTGTGTGTTTGCCTAGAACTCCTTTGACTTATAAAGAAGGAATTGATCATAACAAATGTGTAGGAAATTAGACAAGATAAGATAAGAGAGATAGGATGTAACAACATGTCCCATATTTTTCGAACGTTAGGGGTAAAATGGTAATTTCACACTCAAGGGAGATATTTTCTTATTTTGTCTTTTATGGGATTGGTTGGTGAGCA